GTATTTAAACTTCACTTCCAGAGTTAAGCTCTTGCCATTTTGTTGCATTTCATCTTAGTGAAACATTCTGGGCTTGGGAGTTCGAAAGAAGGGCTCACACTCTGGCTCAGCCACTTAACTAGAGGAGTGATATTAGCAAAGGAACTCGGTTTTTCCAAGCTTAATTTATAGGACAGGGATGATTAAAGCACATGGCCTGAAACAGACCAGGCACACCATAGATACTAATTACCAGTTTCTTTCTCTCCGAGAACATCCTTGTAGGCACAGTGATATAAATGTCCTCCTTTGAAAGAACCTGAGGTAGATATGAGGGAAGCTGAGAACTGAACTTGCATCTTAGAGCTTCCAACTGGATTTTATTGTCCTGTGGTGTGTTTTCATTCTGACAAGAAATAGTTTGCAAGTTGAGATAACAAAGTTAAGCAAAGGCAATGCCTGATGAACCAATTTCAAAACAATCCAGCAATTCTGCCATGTCCCTGTTTATTATTTTTCTAGGTATCAAGAGAGTCAGGGCTTCATTTATCTTTCTCTTTTCTGTACCCAGACAGTTTAAACACCTTAATGGCAACTGTAAAATGATTAAATGAAAAACAATGATTTAAAAGTGTGTTTGAGACATGATGTATTTAATAATTCGGGGCAGGGATTACAGATTGGGGATGTTAATGGGAAAGACTTTATATTGGGCACCTGGCCTGTCTATAGTGAGGGCACTGACAGGAGAAAGCAGTACAGAACCCATCACTGTGTGTAGTTGAGAGAACCAGGAAGTCAAAGAGTCAGGAATATGGCCCCAGTTCAAAGGCCACTAACCCAACACTGACCTTGATACCATAGGGAGAGCATAGGACAGCTACTAGAATCAAGAAAAGAATAAAACATTGCAGTGAATGAGCTGCAGGAGATTCTTTTAAGTTAAAGAAAAGGAATAATGAGATCACAGCATGGTCCCTCTTCTCTAATTATTTCTGTATTTTTATTTAGAGTGTGACTTTAGATAAAATGCCTTCCATCCTCTGGGTCCAGATTCCTTCTTTTTAGAGAGAAGAGGTTGGGTTGAGTCACTGCCTTAGTTCAGGTTGCTATATCAGATTACCATAGACTTAAACAACAAACATTTATTTCTCACAATTTTGGAGGCTTGAAGTCTAAGATGAGGGTGCCAACATGGGTTCTTGTGAGGGTCCCCTTCCTGGTTTGTAGAAAGCTATCCTCTTGTTGTATCCTTACATGGTGGAAAGAGAGCGCTCTGGTCTCTTCAGCCCCTATAAGGGCACCAATTCCATTATGGGCACTCTTCTCTCAGACCTCATCTAAACCTAATTACCTCCCAAAGACCCCACCTCTAAATACCATCACATTAAGGATTAGGGTTTCCCCATATGGATCTCTGGGGACCCAAACACTCCACCAATAGCAATCACCCCTACATTTCCTTCTCTCTGACTTTGCATATGAAGGTTCCCTACTGGCCACTAGGTCAAAATCAAACCATCTGTCCAGCTTTCAAAATCTTCCATAAGTGGATGTCATCCACGATGCCAGAATTGCTTGTCACCTCCCTCAGAATGGACCATCACCTCCCTTTAGACAAGTCTATGGTTTGCCTTCCCTATGAGCTATACTAATCCATTACTTGCACTTTCTTTCTCTCCTCCTGCTCATTGGTCTCTCTTGGAGTGCACTGAACTCTCTCTGTTGACTCAAGAACTAGCCAATTTGTGGGAGCCATTCTTCCAGTCCCCAGACCATCTTACATCGAAGAATAATGTTAATAAAAAGTTTCCCCCCTGTGTAGTATACTAGTAGATGAGGTTTTAGGATTTGTATTTAATTGGAAGTTGTTTCATATCATTTTAGTTCATGTAAATGCCAGTTCTAAAAGCTCAAAATTAAATATAATATGTACAAATCTTGTTCCAGAGCCACTGTTATTAATCTACAAATCAAAGGTTACCAATACAGAAAAAGACAAAGGACATCAACATATGGCAAACTGCAGCTGAAGTATAGGATCATACTTTATATTTTTTTCCAAATGCCAAGCAAATTCATTGATATTTGTGATGATATAAGAAAGCCACAGTATTAAGGATTTGCCATTCATTGTAACATATTGCTAAAAACCATCACTATGTCTCCACACTAGGATTCAGTATTAAATGTTGATTCAAAAAAAAAATTCTAGTTTGAGTTGGTTACCACATACTTGATTTGTGGTAATTGTTTGAGCTGTTTTGAAGATGAAGGCAGTAAAATCTGGTCTTGCTTCTGATAACTGTCCATGATAAGTCATTATTTCTTTTACGGATATAATGCATAATATAATTTAAAGAAACATCTAGTAAGACTATCTAAAATGATATCAAAAGAAAAGAAATATTCTAAAAACAGGAAGAGCTTTTTATGCATTTTATTATTGCTCCATGGAAATGCCAAATAATGTCTCTACTTACACTTTGGGATAAGCAAAAGTCACAAGCAGACCATTTACAAGTGAGAAAATGGAACCTATGGAAAATTTTTCAATATCACTAATATTGACCCAATGCAATTTTCAACTATCTAATCCAAACGGTAATGACTTTAAATGTAGTTTATATGAAAAGAGATGAAAGAAAAGGATCTTTGGGAATTGAGATCATCTCAGTTACTTAGAAGGTAGAGAAATGTGTTTTCTGGGCAGCCTTCCTTTGACCCCAGATCCAGGCTCTCCCCCTTCTCACCCTGCTGTGTGCCCTCTGAGCTGACCTTAACAGTATATCAATGGGGCCTTCGGGCCTCTGGCTCCCAGTTAACTTCAGCCAGTGGGAGACACCAATGAAAGATCAGTGGGCAGGGGTTGGCAGGGTGCTATTTCTCTCCCAAAGACCACAGCTTTTCGTGGGTGATCCTCTTCTACAGCTACAAGTCTTGCTGATTTCAGGTAACTGCTCCTTTTCCTGGCCATTGTAAGGTAAGGGGTGGTAGTGACTTCTTGCTATTGTTAGCTCTGGGGTACTTCTCCATCTCTTACTGGTTCCCCTTACCTTGGCCACACCTTCTAATTTATTCCTGTAATAAGTCCTTTCTGTTCATTCCTTTTGAGTTTGTCATTCGACTTCCACCACAATTCTGAAACCTATGGTACATCTCCAAGGACTCAAGACCTTAAACGAGGTAGAACATTTTTCTTTCTGATCAACTCATCGCTTTTTTCTTCTGTCATGAATGCCTGTTGCTTTTGCATCCCCAAGATCCATTTAGTCCTTTTCTTACACTGCAGCCTCATTTTCCATAAGCAAATCACCTCTCCTCATTCTCATCTCTCAGTGTACAAGGCTTGGATGAGGCTGATCTCAGCCCCAAACCAGGGCTAATCATGTGATCTAAGTCAGTCCAATTGGGTTTAAAATTAGGACTTCTGTTGGAACTATGGGGGCAAAGAGGCCTCTATTTACTTGGGATAGCCAACTGTGTGGAAAAACACAATCTGGAACTGTCAGGCCAAGGAAGAGGGCAGGTCTGAGTATAAACTAACAAAGTAGAAAAGGGTGCAAGAAGATGGAGAGGAAAACCTATCATTATCTGAACCCCTGGATCCGACCATGTCTGATGTTTACCCATAGACATGGTAAGTATTATATAATGCTCAAGCTGAGTTGAGCTTTCTATCACTTGACAATGAAAGATCCCTAATGGGCCTTCTTTAATGAAAACACATATATTTGGGAAGAGTACAAAGTGGAGAGGGCTATAGACTGTGACTTCTAAAATGAGATCATCCAGATGGGTAATATTGTGTTCCTCAAGAACCTTGACATTAAAAGTCTCTAGAGGCAACCTGTGGTTTCTGTTTGTTATGATTTCAGAGCTCCCACCACCTGTGCTGTCCCTTTATTCCTTTGAAATCTGTGAGAGATGGGACAATCCCAAACCAAACAGCTCACCGAGTGTTGAACTGTGTGGCTGAGCCCCACGCATGAACTGGTACAAACAAGGAACAATGCTGGAAACCAGCCGAACTCTGTGTTCAAGTATTATTTTCAAGTGCCATTTGACTGGGCCTTCTCAGGTGACATGGTTCACTGGCAGGAAAGCTGTTACTGTGACAATCATTATTCCCATTTACCGCCTATTAGAATGTGAGTCACTGGGAGGTCAGGCTGTCCCAAAAGCTCAGTGTTCCTGAGCACTCAAGGTCAAGTTCAAGGGACAGCAATCAGGTATAGGGACAATGGCAAAGGCTCAATCCTTTGAAATGAACAGAAGGGCTAATCCCCAGGAGATCACCGCAAAGTTGAGTTTTACTATCTTCCACATATCACATAGCTTGGGAAAAGAAATCAGAGTGACAGTGTTAACATGGCCCCAGGCCCTCCCCACAGCTGCTCTGCTCTTTTTTTTTTTTTTTATACATCCACCATTCCTGCCTAACACTATGCCTTGCACAAAATGGATGCTCATAAGGGATGACTTTCTAAGTCTGCTGGCTTAAGAATACAGATAAAATATACAACAATATATGAGAAGAGTCAGCATGCAGTTGCTGCTCAAAGACAACCTGGGTGATATTATTATTGCTATTATTTGTAAATTTATCAGCATTGTTGATAAGCAGGTTCAGCAAAACCCGCACAAACCCTTTTAATCAACAGTTTCAACTTCCTTACCTCCCAAGGCAACAGCTCTGTTGTGGGTTTATTTTCCAAGCCCTTCATGTGTAGATGTGAGAATCAACCTATCCTTCCATTTGCCCACTCATTCATTCATTCAGCTGACCACATATTTATTGGAGTATATGTGAGAAATCAAAGTTGATTAAGACGCAGACCTTGTAAAACACAAATGCAAACCTGTTGTATATCAACAAGAAATTTGAACAGTCTGTGACTGAGAGAATCAGCCTACCGAATAAGAACTGATTTCAGTGGTTGCCACAAGTGCTGTGCATACCTTGGGGGAAATGACCATGATGGGGCGAGGGGCGGGAGGGGTGTCTGCACTTTCCTTACCTTTTCTGCAAGCCAGCCAAGGTGCCTGATCTCTCGGCTCCCGGCAATGCCTGTTTTCCCCAGCTGCTCTCTGACCTCAGCAATCACTCGGGTCAGCAGGTCACTGACGTTGGAGTGGATGGCACTGAACCAGGCCTGGGCAGTGGCTGAATCCTTGCCCCTTAGGATCACTGTGTGCTTAGCATCTGGAGAGTGGATTTCAAGCTGCCTAGAGAAGCAAAGAGAGAAGGGTTACAAGGTTTTCTGGCATATCATGCTTCTTCCAATCCTGGGTCACAAAGTTGAATGAAATCATCACTCTTATCTTTAGACTTGATCAGTTTCACATGGTTTATCTTAATGGTCCGATCATTCATTCACTCATTCACATCCACAAAATTTTTTTAAGGGCCCAGGAATTAATTAGTGCAGGTACTCGGGGCATAGCCATCTAACCACCATATCACCTGAATTAAGAATGTCTAGTTTTCCTGTTATTGAGCTGATTGGCTGATTAGCAGTTTCATTTCAAGACTTCTAATCTATGAACTGATATTAATTTGCCTTATCTCTCAAACCACAGAGTATTTTAATCACATACTCATATCCTTGCTCCTGCTGGCAGAAAACAGATAGAAATATCTACCACATGCTCAGTATTAATTGTGAATATTTTAGAATCAATGATGATTAAACTTTGTATTCTTTAAGAATCCTGCCTGTGGCACATTTACCCACCACTAAATCAGACATGTGTAATGAGGGAGCAAGATGTCCTGGAAAGGTAAAACAATGGAAGATATATGCATTGAGAATGTTAACATTTAAAATCAAAGACCAAAGCTTAAGCCAGAACTCCAACTGATTTACATGAGATAGCATGAGAGACCTGAATACTGAAATTGTAGTAAAAAGAGGAAATTCTATTCAGGTACTTTTTATGTATAACTGTTTATTTTGAAGTACTTACTAGTATAGATTAAAATGGTGTTGCAAAAATAGTATAAAGATTTGGGCATACCCTTTCACCCAGTTTCTCAGATCATGGTTATATTTTATGTCACTTATATTTGATGTAACATGCTTGTATTTTATAATACAACTAGAGGCCCAGTGCACAAAATTCATGCACTCAGGGGAAGAGAGTTGGGGGAAAGGTTCCCTCAACCCAGCTTGCACCCTCTCACAGTCCAGGAGCCCTTGGGGGATATCCTACTGCTGCAGAGGCGGGAGAGGCTCCCACCGCCTCCTCCACTGCACTTGCCAGCAGTGAGCCCAGCTCAGGACTTCTGGCTGAGTGGTGCTCCCTCTATGGGAGCACACTGAATACCGGGAGCAGCTCCTGCATTGAGTGTCTGCCCCCTGGTGATCAGTGTGCATCATAGTGGCTGGTCATTCTGCTATTTGGTCAATTTGCATATTAGCCTTTTATTATATAGGATACCAGAGCCAGGAAACTGACCTGATACAATGTAAATATATGGGTCTATGGTATTCTGTGATGTGCAGATTCTTGTAATCACCACCGTGGTCAAGGAACAAGACTAGTCCATCACCACAAAGCTCTCCCTCCAGCGGCAAGTCTCCCCTCACACCCTCCATCCCAAACCCCTGGCAACCAGGAATCTGTTCTCCACATCTGTAATTTTTAGATAATTTTTATTTCAGGAAAAAACCCCACATTTTATTCATCCATGTACATATTAATATAATAACCACTGATTTATTCATGTTTGCATTAAAAAGATACAGGGATTAGGAAATTTGACACTGAATGGAATGGCCCATTTATTAATTTCCTTTCATCCCTTAATACTTAGACTGCCCCTCACGGAGTATTTATTATGTGCCAGGCAAAGTTTAAATATTTTTTATATTTTATGTAATTTTCCTAGTAGACTTCTGACATTATTATTCCCATTTAACAGAAGGAAAAAACCCTGAAATTTGGAGGAAGAGAGAGGTTTTTTACCCAAGGCCACCCAATTGGTGATACTGGTTAGGCTCAAAAGCTCCTGGATGAACTACCATGTCCCACTGACTCCTCTAGACTGAGGATCTCTAGTAGAAGAGCCCCCACTGTCCTCAACAGCGGTGAAGTCAGTACCTGCAATGTGTCCCAACGTGTCCTACTTAGCTCCTGAGTTCCAAAATAACAATTCTGCAGATCACCTGAAAATCTCAAGTCCCAAGTTACCTGGCCTCGTTTACATTTGAAGCCAACCTTTTAGAGTGAGTAGACCTTCTTACTCATAAACTTAAATGGGAGGAAAGGAATGATGTAGAAAGTGAAATGTCTCTGGGGGAGTTTTAGCAATAATTAGCCTTTTTTTTTTTTCTTGGTAAGTTTACAAAACAAGCCTCCACATTGAGACTCCCAAGTTTTGACGTGATGAAACAAGAGATTCTTTAGGTGGCATATGTCCTCATCCGAAGACAAAAAAAAGGCCATGCCTCATTCCTTTGAGGCACTTTACAAAGGAATGGGCTGTTCATCTGGGCGGGGTTTTCTTTTCCTCCTGAAATTCTTACTTGTTGGTCAAGTTTCATGGCCAAACACAAGCTGGGATTCTCGAGAAGCATTAATGAGAGCTCAGTGTGCTTTTCAAATTATTCCATCGATATCTATTGTTCTAGAAATTTAAAGCAGGCAAATATTGCTTTTACAATATTTTCTTTAGAAGACCTAGATTTGTTTGTAAAGAAATGAAAGCTTGGGCCTGGCTAGAGAGGCTCAATTGGTTGAGTGTCATACTGTGTATTGAAGGGTTTGCCAGTTCAATTCCTAGTCAGGACACATATCTGGGTTGTGGATTTGAGCCCCATTTGGGGTATATATTAAAGGCAACTGATTGATGTTTCTTTCTCATTAATGTTTCTCTCCATTCCTCTCTCTTGGCATGTTCTCAGGTGAGGAATTAGAAAGAAAGAAAAAAAAAAAGCTTGGAAAGCAGCCACTCCCCAGGTATCACATACATAAACAACTTACGTGAATAAAAAAGAAAAAAAATATTTTCTTTGTTGAGTTGCCAGCGTACCCCTGGGGGGAAACCAACTTATAAACAGAGGTATAGTGAAGAGGAGGCCCAGGTTTTCCACAGCACTTATCATTACTATTAATTTTAAGGAAGATTTTAAGTATAACATAGATAGACAAGTGCACAAATTATTGTGTACAGTTCAAATGGACTTTTGCAAAGGGAACTCCTTGATGGAACCATCACTCAGATCAAGAACTAGAATGTTCCAAGCATCCCTGAAGGTCCCTTTACATTTCCTTTCCAGTTGTTATAACCCCAAATAACTACTACTAGGATTTTCATCACCATGGGTTACTTTTGTCCCAGGCAAAATGAATGAGATTTTGTTTATTTTTATTTGTTACTAAAGGCCAGTGCATGAAATGGGGGGCAGGGGGGTAGGAAGGGAGGAGGGGGGGGTCCCTCAGCCTAGCTTGTACCCTCTTCAATCTGACACCACTTGAGGGATGTCTGATTGCCCATTTAGGCCTGATTCTACTGAACTCCTGGCTCACAACTACTTGCCTGCCTGCCTGCCTTCCTGATTGCCCCTAATTGCTTCTGCATGCCAGCCTAATCACCACCTAACCACTCCCCTGCCAGCCTAATTGATGCCTAACTGCTCCCTTGCCAGCCTGTTTGCCCCTTAGTGCCTTCCCCTTCAGGCCTGATCACCCCTAACTGCCCTCCCCTGCAGGCCTGGTCACCCCTAACTTCCCTCCTCTGCTGACCTGGTCACCCCTAACTGTCCTCCCCTGCATGTTTGATTGCCCCCAACTGCCCTCCCTTTCAGGCTTGGTCCCTCCCAACTACCTTCTCCTGCTGGCCATCTTGTGGAGGCCATCTTGTGTCCACATGGGGGCAACTATCTTGTGTGTTGGAGTTGTGGTCAATTTGCACATTACTATTTTATTAGAATTGTGGCTTGCAGTATAGTAAGGATCTTGGGCAATTTCTGAGGCAAAGTATATACAGCAGGCCTAGTACTTTTCAGTGATGGTTCTGAGTGTGCTCACAGACCAGTCATGGCAGCAACAGCATCACTAAAATGCAGTCTTGCTCCCTATGCTGGACCCACTGCATTAGGAATTCCAGGGGTGAGGCCTCGCAATCAGCCTTGAGGTAAATCTGCTGCAATTCAGGCTGAAGAAGGCTGCTTATAGGTTCATAGGAAAAGCACTGAGCTTGTTTGCTGGCTTCCCAGTGTCTGGAATAGCAATACTGAAAAGTGAGGTGACCTCCCCCCATTCAGTTTCAAAGAACATGGAGGACACAGAATAGAGAGGCATGTGGCTTTTTTTTAAACTATAAAAAGAAACACAAGTTCTTACTCAAAAGTATTCTTCAAAACCCTTGAATCATTTTTTAAAAAATCATTTAATTAAATACAGATGCTTGACCCCATCTGTAGAGTAAGATTTCTAGAGGGTGATGCCTGTGTATATGCTTTTAATGTTCCACAAATTATATAGATGAAGGATCATGGCAGGCCTCTCTAAACCTAAGCTCAAACCCCCAAAGAGCTATGCTTAGCTATGGCCAGGTGACTCAGTTGGAAAGAGTTTTGTCCTGATTTGCCAAGGTTGCAGGTTCGATCCCTGGTCAGGGCATGTAAAAGAATCAACCAAATGAATGCATAAATAAGAGGAACAAAAAATCAATGTTCTCTCTCTCTCAAATCTATATTTAAAAGAAAAGAAAAAGAAGAAAAAAAAGCTATGCCTAATGGCGATTATCACGAGAAGGGCAATACAACAGAAGGTTCTTGGAAAGCGTATTAGTAATGCATTGCTGAGTAACAAATTCCCCCAGAATTAAGTAGCTTAAAACTTGGAACATTTGTTATCTCATAGCCTCTGTGCATCATGAACTGAGTCGAGTGGGTTTGGCTCCAATGCTTCCTGTCAGTTGGCAGCCAGGATGTCAATAGGGCCTCAGGCATCAGAATCCTTGACTAAGCCAAGGATCCATGCCCCAGACGGGCACTCACATGGCTGTTAGGAGAAGGCCTCAGCCCCTCGCCCCTTGGCCTTCTTCAGAGGCTGCGTGACTGCCCTCATGGCATGGCCTGGTTTCTTTCCCCAGAGAGCAAGAAGGAACTACAGTTCCTTTTGTGACTTGGTCTCCAAGGTCAGATACCATCACTTCTGGTTCATTCTTTTTTTTAGAAGTGAGTGACTAAGTCCAATGCACATCACAAGAAAGAGAG